ATCAGTCTGCCTGTTCTGTTCCCCACTCTGTCTCTGGTGAATCCTCTCACCCTCCTGCGTATCTGGCCTGTACCCTGATTCTTGCGTAAATGAATAAATAAATCTTTAAAAATAAAATAAAAATAAAACTTCCACTGTATCTGCTAGCCCCATACCCTCTGTCACCTTTCTTGTTACTATATGGAAACTGACCACCCTCCTACCTGAAGACAACACCTCCACTTGTGACTACGCTTTTCCTCTCACCTCCTATGGGAGATGTGGAGATGTGCCACCCAGCACCCCTTTCAAGTAAGGCCCTGCTGCCCAGCTGCAGAGCCCATGATCAGTGGGCAGCCTTCATCTGGCAGCTCTTCAGAGTGTGCCACAACTGTGAAGTCACCTCACGGGGGTCATGCCCTTCCTGGGGGCAGCCAGCCAGCAGGCCAGACAGGACACCTTGAAAAGCTGTACTCACTCCAGAGCTCCAGAGGGTTGGCTAAAGCTTTGCCAGGCCAGCTTCCAAGTTGATCTCTTCCTCAGCCCAACTTTACTTCTTCCCCCTTCATTTCAATACATATTGATCCCTAATAAATGTGTAGTACCCCATATCCTGCTTCAACATATGCCTCCAGAGAACCCAGTTGACATAATTTAGATTGCTTCTAGCTATTATCTCCTCTCTCTTTCATCATCAACTTCTCCTTCTCTATTAACTCACCCCCATCATCATATAAACACAAACTAGGATTGCCCTTCTTAAAAATCAAACTCATTTTGGGCCTCCCCGGTGGCGCAGCGGTTGAGCGCTGGGTTGCAAGGCTGCCCGCGGCCTCTGCGGCGCCGGTTCGATCCCTGGCTGCTCCCCGGCCACCGGAGGAGGGTCCCACATGGCACGCAGACCTCTCCTGCCGCCCGCTGCTCCCCTCAGCAGTGTACTTCAGTCCTTCTGCCTGCTCTGCTCTCCCCTCTGGCTCTGGTGAATTCTCTCACCTTCCTGTGCTTCTGACTGTACCCAGTGCATGTATAAACAAAGCAAACAAACAAACAAACAAATAAAACATGCCTCTATAAAAAAAAAAAAAATCAAACTCATTTTGAGTTTCCGTTCCACTTATCCACTCTTCTACACAGCAGAGTGACTGCGAAGTGTCTGAATCCATTCCTTGCCTTTGTCTCTATATTCCCATTCCTGGCACCTTCAGACTCAAGCCCCAAACAGCTCTTGTTGGTGTCGCTGTTAACTCTGGGGTCAGGGTAAGTGACAACCACGGTTGTCAGGGTCATTTTTCTAACCAATGGTCAATTATAAGTTCTCCCCTCACCTGACCTTCTAGCACCTTCTGATCCAGTGGATCGCTCTCCCACTCGTAGATACTTACTCATTTAGCTTTTGGGACTCAACTTTCACTTAACTCTCCTCCCGCTTCTGCTGCCCTTCCTCATCCTACTTTGCTGGTTCTTCCTCTGCTGACCCTCTGACTACTGGAGAGCTCCAGGGTCCACTCTTGACCCTATCCTCATCTCTACCTATATTCACTCTGTTGATGATCTCATCCAGTCTTGAGGCTTTAAATACCAACTACATGTTGACAACAGCTAAATTTACATCTTGAGCTAGAGCTTCCTCCCCTGAATGCCAGACTCTCATATCCAACTGCCTGTTTTGATTCTCCATTTAGATACTAAGAAGAATCTCAAATCTAACATGTCTAAAACAAATCAACTGAGTCCCTTCCTCCAACTTTCCCCAAGACAAAGAAAAAAGTCCTGCTCTATCCCCAACTCCTGAGGTCTTCCTCATCTCCGTAAATGGTTATTCTGAATCAAAATGGTTATTGAACCAGAAATCCAAAGTCATTATTGAGTCCTTGTTGTGCTTATCCCCCACATTCATTACTTCAGTAAATCCTTTAGACTCTATCCTATGTGTCTCCACCGCTCTTATTTCCTTAAGGTCCTTTCCAAATGTCATCTTATTAATACGATCTTCCTTAATCATCAAACGAGCACAATACAATCCCACCCACCCTACTAGTACTTCTGATCTCATTGTATTGCTATTTGTCATGCAATATATTTGCATCTTTATTTTTTCATTGTCTCAAAGGTAAACTTTGAGATGGCAGAGACTTTGTCCTGCTCTCTAGCTCCTAATGAGGGGCAGAGAGTAGGTGTTCAATAAACATTTTTGAAAGGATGTGAAAGAAAGAGTAGGTATTGAGGGAGAAGCACTTGGCTACAGAGCTAAAGGATGTGAAGGTGTAAATCATTCAAACGTTTTGAAGGAAGAACAGTCAGTCAGAATAAAAGAAAAGGAAAGGTCAAAGATAAGGAGCTTGGCTTTGTAGGGGAACATCAAAGAAGGCTGATATTTAAAAAGGAAAAAAAGGTTTTCTTGACTGCTGTGTGATCAGTAGGAGGTGGGGGTGGCATTGTGGAAAACATCTGACCTGTGAGAAGCTACTTGGAAATCCAAGGACAAGAGAAGACAGGATTTGAACAGCACTGGGAGAGTGGGAAATGGTATAAAAATTAGGGTAGCAATGACAGGATTTGCTTATTTTGGATAAGTGCACAAAACAAACACAGAATTTGACAAAAACGTTTCACTTTTGCTATGTAACCTGGAGTTCGTTGGGGCAAATCTACCTGGTCCTATATCCATTAAATCCGCTGAATAGGGGCTCCCTGGTGGCACAAGGGTTAAGCACCGCACTGTGAAGCAATCTGTAGCCTCTGCAGCCGGAGTTGGATCCCTGGCTGTCCAGGGAGCTACCCACATGGCACAGCAGACCTCTCCTGTCTCGCCCGCTGCTCCCTCAGCAGTGTATTTCAGTCAGTCTGTCTGTTCTGTTCCCCACTCTGTCTCTGGTGAATCCTCTCAACGCCCCCACACCTCTGGCCTGTACCCCAGCTCTTGTATGCATGAATAAATAAATCTTTACAAAAAAAATTCCGGGGGGGGTGCAGTTGTATGGGGAATATAACCAAAATGAAAATGCATACATTGTAAGAATTACATCATTTTTCATAAAATAAAATATTAATTTATTAGTTTCATAAAATTAATTTAATTTCATAAAATAAAATATTAATTTATAAACAAATAAATAAATAATTGCGCTGAATAACTGAGTAAAGTAAAGGGCTCCTTGGGGTAGCTAGTGCTTGAGTTGGGAGAAAAACAAAGGAGTCACAAACAGAAAGGGGAAGCATATGGGGGTGGGGAGAAGTGGGGGTACAGTGTTCCTTTTTGGAACTGCTGAATTGCAAAGCTATCTGCAGGGCTGGCCTAGGACTGGTGTGTGTGTGTGTGCATGCAGGCAAGAAGGCATTCCCTCTATATATCTCACACTCTCCCCTTGTGTGTGTGTGTCTGTGTGTGCAACAAGGCATTCCCTCTATTAAATCCCACAATCTCCCAGTGTGTGTGTGTGTGTGTGTGTGTGTGCAACAAGGCATTCCCTCTATTATATCCCACAATCTCCCTGGGTGTGTGTGCGCAACAAGGCATTCCCTGTTATATCCCACAATCTCCCAGTGTGTGCGTGTGTGTGTGCAACAAGGCATTCCCTCTATTATATCCCACAATCTCCCCGTGTGTGTGTGCGCAACAAAGCATTCTATTATATACCACAATCTCCCCGTGTGTGTGTGTGTGCAACAAGGCACTCCCTCCATTATATCCCACAATCTCCCCGCGTGTGTGTGTGTGTGTGCAACAAGGCATTCCCTCTATTATATCCCATAATCTCCCCGTGTGTGTGTGTGTGTGCAACAAGGCATTCCCTCCATTATATCCCACAATTTCCCTGTGTGTGTATGTGTGTGTGTGTGCGCAACAAGGCATTCCCTCTATTATATCCCACAATCTCCCCGTGTGTGTGTGTGTGTGTGTGCGTGTGCGTGTGCAACAAGGCATTCCCTCCATTATATCCCACAATTTCCCTGTGTGTGTGTGTGTGTGTGTGTGTGCAACAAGGCATTCCCTCCATTATATCCCACAATTTCCCCGTGTGTGTATGTGTGTGTGTGTGTGCAACAAGGCATTCCCTCCATTATATCCCACAATCTCCCTTCACATTCACAGGCCTGGGAATCTGTTTATGTCTGGGCGCCGGCCCCTCGCACGCGGCAGGGTTCTCCTTTAGGGCGCCCCTGATCTGGGAAGGGCCCTCAAAAAACACGGCAGGCTCGGGAGTCGCAGCCGCCTGACCTCGGGGACCAAGACCCCGCCTTGAGTCCCCCCCCCCGCGCCTCCGGGGACGCCGCGCGCGGCGACTTCCCGGGACGCCAACTTCTGTCCCGCCGCCCGCCCCGCACCCCCCCGGTGATGGACCCCCTGTGACGGCCCCCCTTTTCCGGCACCGCGTCGCGGAGACAATACCCGCGCTGCCCCGCGACGCCCCGCCATTCCGCGCGGCCCGGCCGCGCCCCGCCCCCCCCTCGCGTTTGGGGCGCCCCCTCGAGGCCCCGCCCCGGCTCCCCGCGGCGCTCGGGCCGCCCCGCTCCGCCCCCGGCCTCGCGCGCGCCCCGCCGGCCCGCGGCGCTGATTGGCCGCGCCGTTCCCGCGCTCGCGCCCGACCGCCATTTTGAAATCTTGTTGACTCGGCGGCGGGCGCGGCGGCGTCACGGAGAGCGGCCCGCGCGCTTCTTCTCGCGGAGCTTCCTCGGGCCTCGCGCGCCAGGCCCGCGGCGGCCGCTCCCCGCGGTGAGGGCCGCGCCGGGCGAGGGAGGCCGACGGGGCGCCGCGGGGCGCGGCCGCGGCCCTTGGGGCGGCGGCGGGGGCGAGGACGGGGCGCGGGGCGCGGGCCGGTGGGAGGGGCGCCCGGCTTCCCGCCTCGGGCCTCCCCGACGGCGCGCGGAGCGGGGGGGCCTGGGCCGCCGGGAGGAGACGGGCGCGAGTGGGGTTCCCCGCCGGGCCCGGGGGTGTCGGCCGAGTCCCGGGTGGGGGGGCGCCCCTCCCCGCCCGCCGCGAGGCCCGGACGGCTGACCGCCTCCCGCCCGCAGGCCCCAGCATGTCCGCCGCCGGCCCCGCGGCCGAGGCCGAGGGCGCCCCCGCGCAGCCCGCGGCCGAGAAGGAGCCCGAAATGCCGGACCCCAAAGAGGAAAGTGAGGACGACGACGAGGACGACGACGAGGAGGAGGACGATGAGGAGGAAGAAAAAGGTGGGGAGCAGCTCGTGCCCCCCCCGGGGTGCATGGGCAGAACCCGGGCTCCCCGCTCCTGGAGCGCCCGGGCGCGTCGGGGTGATGTTGGGGCGCATTTAATCTGTGTTGTGTGTGAAGCAGCAGCAGCAGGGAATTAAGTTGGGGTTGAGGTTTTTATTTTGGAAAACATACTGGGGAGCCCTGTGCCTGCGGTTTTTTGTTTTTTTTGGGGGGGGGGGCTTGCAGTTGATTTCTTGCCAGGCGACCAGCCTCCTGGCCTTGCAGCGTTCTTGCACAGGAAGTTTGTGAGTTTCACGTCTGTTTTTCAAGCCGTGTTTACCTCCCAAGGCGCCTCCGTTAGTATTTTCATCTTTTGCTCATTGCAGGGCACCTCTTTTTTTTTTTTTTGCCTTTTGAAGTTATGGTCTTTCACGAAGCTGCACATTAAGTTATTAATAAGTTGGCTGAGCTGCAGCACAGGCAGGACCTTTTTTAAGGAGAAGAGTCTCCAGGGGAAACTTTCACCCGGGGAAAGCTGTTGCTGCTTGAGAAAGTAGCTGAATATGAAAGCAGTGAACTCGGAGGGAAAGTCAGAGATGAGCTCAGTCGTCTCGGTTTTGAAGTGGAGGCAGAGCAGTATTTTTTTTTTTAAAGATTTGTTTATGCATACGAAAACTGGGGTACAGGCCAGAGGTGCAGGGGGTGAGAGGATTCACCAGAGACAAAAGTGAGGAGCAGAACAGGCAGACTGACTGAAATAACGCGGCTGAGGGGAGCAGCTGGGAGACAGAAGAGGTCTGCTGCGCCATCGGGGTGGCCTGGGATCGAACTCTTGCTGCAGTGGCTGCGGACATCTTCATAGTGCTGTGCTTAATTAACCTCTTGCCCCACCAGAGAGGTCCTAGGGAGAGCAGTAAAAACCACTGTTTGAATAAAAGCAGGAAACAACCTTACAGGTTTGTTGGAAGGTTTGGTACTGTTGGGATTCTCTGAGATACACAGTGCAGTGCCTCTGTAGTGTGCCAGCTTCCCACGATGTTTCTGACTACTTAAAAATCGGTGTCTCAGCATTCTTTGGTAGTAGCCCAGTCTGAATTTATTTTATTTAATAGCTGCAACTCAGTTCAACTTGAGAAAGGGTTTGGAATTTGCTTTTCAGATCCAGGTTTGACTGTTGAGTTCTTGTAAACTTAAACCAATCCATGGTCATCACTTGATGAATATACTTGATCTTAGCCAAAAGGCCGCGAAGCGATCACTTTATGAATATAATCCAGGTTTAGATTAAACCATGTGCCTTTTGTTTAAAACGGTAGGTGCCCTCAGAAGGGAATTTGTCCACACTTAAGTCCAAAAACATTAGAATAGATTGTAAATTATTTATAATACAGTAACTGAAAATTGGCTGCATTTTGGCAGTACTAATCCAAGACTTCCTCAGCACTTTTTCCTCCCATGTTTTTTTTGTTTGTTTATTTTTGAATCTTTTAAGATAGGATTCGGATACCACAGAGGGGATAAATTTATGCGTGTTGGGGGGAAATTGTAGAAGTCATGTAAAAGTGCTGTCACCAACATAGTCATGCTTGGGAGACTGATACTAGTTCAAATTTAGCCTTTTTTAAAAAAGAAAATTTTACTTTTTTGAAAAAATTGCTCAAGCAGTTCTGTGTTTCTAATTCATTCTATTTCTTTTACTTGTGGTGTTTGTGGAACAACTAAGATTGTGAATGTTTTAATTCTATTTAACTCTGAAACGTGAACTCTACTGAGGAGACAGCAGAAACAAGGAGCGACATCCATGCCAGATAAAGAGTGACTTGAGGTTTGGCAGTGGGTGTAGAAATAGGATGACAGTGGCAAGAGAGAAGCCTATTAAAAGAAGACTCCTGGGTTTCTGTCCTTGGCAGCTGAGTGGGAAACATTACTTTCTGTAAAAAATAAAGCCGGATGAGCAAGTTGCAGATGACTGTATTTTGTCTGCACTGAGTTTGGTGCCTGTGAGACATGAAGTGGAGCTGTCCATTTGGCAGCCAGTTCAGTTGAACTGAAGGTTGGGAGAAAGCTCTGGACTGGACCTAGAACAGAGGTCATTAACTTAGAGGTGGTAATCAAAGGCAAGCATTATGATTTAAATTACTCTGGGAAAGTGGCGTTGCTTTAGACTGTTTTCTCTTCATTCTATACACCATTACGAGAAAATACCTGCTGGAATCCCTTTTTCCTTATTTATTCTTTCCATACAAGTCTTTGCTACCCTTCTCCAAATCTTACCTACCCTTCAAAGCTGGGTCCATTGTTTTGGTTCTTTTCCTCTAAACCAAAAATATCCTTAATTCACAGAACTTCAGTTTGTATGTTAAATTTTTATTGTTTTTTATTTTGGAGTATAGTATTTATGTATCAATAACCCTAGTAAACATGTCTTTGAGAAGATATTCAGTGTCCTAATCACCTCTTCATCCCATTAGTATCTAGTGCAGCTTTGCACAGAACATGCCTTAAATTAAATGAATGAAAGACCCACAACAATATGTAAAATCTTCCTAATATATGTGACTTTATCAATAGATATATGACTTTAGATAAATCAGATTTTTGTTTAAGGTTAAAATATGTTATGTATTTTCTAGTTTTTTCCTTTTTTAGCAGTCCAGGCTAAACAATTTAACTGTTAGAATGATTTAATATGATTCATTAAATTACAGAGTAATGGGGCTCCCACAGTTGATGACAGTTTAAATGTAATTTTATATTACCAATAATAACTCCAGGCTGCTCTGCTTTCAGGTCCCTGTTGGTCTTTTGTCAGTAACTAAATTGTTACTTTTTTGTTTATTTCTTGAAGTGCTCAGAAATTTGATCTAAACTGTCTGATGTGTAGCAAACTGAATCCCAATTAATAGAAATATCTAATCAAAGAGTCGACTTAATGAGGAGGACCTTAGTGATCTTTCACAGATAGAGAAGTTTTCCATAACAGTAATATAGTTGGATAAAAGTTTGTTGCTTTTCTAACTGAATCCCCTGTGAAATTGTCAGGTAAGTAAAATGTCACTCTAAAAAATCTTCAGTGATACTATTTGTTTTATGAAGTGTTTTTTTAATCTTTGTTACATCATTTGTATCTCAGCATCATGCTTGGAAGAGTAGGGTATTAGGTTTCTGGGATTTTTTTTTTTTCCTACGTGTTTATCCAGTAAAGTTAATGCAGTCTAAGCTTGTTAGTAATGAGGTGTTATATTAATTTCTAGAAAAGAGTCTCATTGTGGAAGGCAAGAGGGAAAAGAAGAAAGTAGAAAGGTTGACAATGCAAGTCTCTTCTTTACAAAGAGAGCCATTTACAATTGCACAAGGTGAGTTTAGTCTTTCATTTTGGTGAGCAATGCTTAATTTTTAGTGTGTACTAAGTAGTAAGATATTGTAAATTTTTATTTAATTTGTCGTGTTGAAAGCTGTATGTAAATTATGTGAAGATAATTCTTAACTGTTTACTTACAAAATATATTAACAAGTAGTGGGTGTTTACCTTTATTATGGGTTTAATGTTTTTTGTTGTTTCTTTTTTGTCTAGGAAAGGGGCAAAAACTTTGTGAAATTGAAAGGATACATTTCTTTCTCAGTAAAAAGAAAACAGATGAACTTAGAAATCTGCATAAACTGCTTTACAACAGACCGGGCACAGTAAGATTGTCTTTATATCTTTAACTCGGTAGCATATTTATATATTAGAATATTTCATAATAGAAACAGTTTTAGTCCTAGAAAGGACTCTAGTGATCAAGTAGTTTAATTTTCTTACCATACAGATTAACACACTACGACAAACATTTGTTAAATTACTTTACTATGGGAAACAGCCACAAAGATGCAACTGGGATTATAATACCCAGGATTTTTTTTTTTTTTTTTTAAGATTTTTATTTATTATTTATACATGCACTGGGTACAGTCAGAGGTGCTGGAGGGTGAGAGAATTCACCAGAGCCAGAGCGGGGAGTAGAACAGAGAGAGTGACGAAGTACACTGCTCAGGGGAGCAGCGGGCGGCAGGAGAGGTCTGAGTGCCCTGTGGGACCCTCGCCCGGTGGCCGGGGAGCAACCAGGGAGCAGCCGGGGATCAAACCTGTGCTGCAGAGGCTGCGGGCAGCTTTGCAACCCAGCGCTCAACCGCTGCACCACCAGGGAGGCCCAATACCCAGGATTATTTTTACTGTAGTTGTTTTTATGCCAAACACAGTTCAGATTATGATTATTTGGGTGATTTTTAGATGTATTAGAAGAAATTTATTTTGGGGCTATTTTGACCATTTAGAATAAATAATAGTTTGATTTTCACTTTGAGCAAAGTTCTGATAAATCAAGTGTTAATTCTTTGCCGATGGATTTGTTAAAATAAGTGTTTCATTTACTGCTTTGGATTGAGTGTGAGCAAAGTAAGACATCAGAATGTCTGAAGCATTGTGTAATTTAACTTGTATCTTATTCAGTTCATACGCACATGAATTCACACAAGTCTTATTACTAGTTAATGGTATTAATTTTCCTGGGTGCTCTGTTCTTTTCAAAATAAAATTCCTAACTTTTCTGATTTGGAAAAGAAATGTTTCTTGTAGCATATGTTACTTAGAAAGGGGGAGTCTTTTTATGTAGTAACTTTCCACATTTCCTGCTACTGTCAGGTAACATCTAATTGTGGTTTTATAATTACCAGTACAAAATTTCCAGAAGGAAACTCATTTAAATTAAAATTACTTTCAAAAATTAAGTTTGTAGACATTTTAAAATGTTAGTACCTTAGTAGTAACCAATTTAGTTTTCAGTTGTGAAAACTAAACTATTCAACATAGTTGAATAGCTAGTATTATAATTTGGAGGCATGAAAATAAAGGTGTTAGCTTTAATTTTTTTTTCTTGTGTACATTACTAGGTAGTGAATAGCATTAATAATAAGCAACATTTTCAGGTGTCCTCATTAAAGAAGAATGTGGGTCAGTTCAGTGGCTTTCCATTTGAAAAAGGAAGTATCCAGTATAAAAAGAAGGAAGAAATGTTGAAAAAGTAAGTATTTTGCTCAGTGTGCTTTAAATTTATTTTTAAACATTTAAATGCAATCACTTGTGCATTTTCAGTAGGCTGTTCCTTGCTCTAAATGCCAAGACCTGCATGTCTTTACAGTTGTCAACTTGTGATGTTCATTACTTTCCAGTAAATACTAACTCTTTAAGATTATTGAAAACATAAAGACCTTCCTGTTATTTAGAGGAATGACATAGGTACATCATTCAGAAGGTCTAAAGGGAACATAATGAAAAATCTACTCCTGTCCTGTCCAGCTGCTGTTTCCCTGTGTGTAGGCACCATTTAAACTGTTGTGGAGATGATCAGTTTGATAGAAACAGTATCCGTCACTACAATGTGAGCAAGATGGTATCTTTTTAGAGCTCCTGTTTATTAAATAGCCTGTAGTTCACGAACACCAAATAGTAAAGATGATTACTTCCTTCTTTGAAACATCATAGTAGGGGAAAATGTATTTGATTACTAGCCAGAAGAATTACCAAGTCCATGAATTTTGTAGTATTGACATTTTTAGATTATGTTCTAGTGATTAAACTTAGTTTGTTCTTTTACTCTTGTAAAACTTAATTGGTAAAAGGCATTTTCAATTATTAATCATCTGGTTGTATTTTGTATTCCTAGTCAAAATTACGAGTATTACTTTTAAAATTCAGAGAAACATTGGCTATTTTGTATGTTAGTAGCTTAGCCAGTTTGGTTAGTAAATTGCCTTTATGGTATGGAGAAGGTGCGCTTTGCCTATGTAATCACCTAGGTATTCTCTATTTTCTCTTCCAGATTTAGAAATGCCATGTTAAAGAGCATCTGCGAAGTTCTTGATTTGGAGCGATCAGGTGTAAATAGTGAATTGGTGAAGAGGATCTTGAATTTCTTAATGCATCCAAAGCCTTCTGGCAAAGTGAGGAACAGTTTTTACTATTTCAGTTTTTACTCTTTTTATTATTTATTCCTTCTCTTTAGTGTCTTTCTATGAACAATTTAGTTAGCAGTGTTGCTATCAACATTCAGTAATACCTTCTTTATTCAAAGGATGTGTCTGCCTTGGACATCTGCAGCTCTTTCATGATAGAGACAGCATGGGGGGCACAGGAATGTGTTCCTCCATGTCAGATGTCAAGTTAAGGAAAATATAAGATGTAAGTTAAGGAAAATAATTATTAACTAAATTACATCAGGTAAGACAAAAAATGCAAACTGAGTATCCAGGGTTATGTATTTCAGAAAGCACTGGCAGAGAACAGAAACAGATAGAGTTGGGCCTCCCCTGGTGGCGCAGCGGTTGAGCTCTGGGCTGCAAAGTTGCCCGCAGCCTCTGTAGTGCCGGTTCGATTCCCGGCCACCGGCGAGGGTCCCACATGGAGCGCAGACCTCTCCTGCCACCCGCTGCTCCCCTCAGCAGTGTATTTCGTCAGTCTGCCTGTTCTGCTCCCTGCTCTGGCTCTGGTGAATTCTCTCACCCTCCATGCTTCTGACTGTATCCAGTGCTTGTATAAATAAATAAATAAATCTTTTTAAAAAAAAGAAAGACAGAAACAGATAGAGTTGAGAATGAAGTTTGGTATTGACAGGAGAGGGTATATAACTAGCAATCAGGTGAAGAAAGATGAGATTTTGGGTATTAGAACTGAGTGTTTTCTTTTTTCTTTAAAAAAAAAAAAGATTTATTTATGAGTACAAGAGCTGGGGTACAGGCCAGAGGTGTGGGGGAAGAGAGGATTCACCAGAGACAGAGTGGGGAGCAGAACAGGCAGACAGACTGAAATACACTGCTGAGGGGAACAGTGGGCGAGAAAGGTAAAGTCTCCTGCACTGTGTGGGTAGCTCCCTGGTCAGCAGGGGATTGAACGCTTTGCTGCAGAGGCTGCGGATAGTGTCACAGTGCTGTGCTTAACCCCTTGCACTACCAGGGATGCCCTGGATATTTTCTTGATCCTGGAATAAGGTTATGAAAAAATGACATTGAAAAAGCGGAGTCTTAGGGCCTCCCTGGTGGTACAGGGCTTAAAGACACAGCGCTATCAAGCTATCACCAGCCACTGCGGCATGAGTTAGATCCGCAGCCAGAGCGATAACCCACATGGTGTAGCCGAGCTCTCCTGTCTCACCTGCTGCTCCCCTCAGCAGTGTGTTTCAGTAGATCTGCCTGTTTTGCTCTCCACTTTGTCTCTGGTGGATCCTCTCACCCCCCACACCTCTGGCCTACACCCCAGCTCCTGTATGCATAAATAAATCTTTAAAAAAAAAAAAACCCAAAGAAATGCTGAATCTTAGAAGTCTCTTGGTTTGGGTTTCCAAAATTCTCAGCAGATTCCAGGAGTTGACCAGGAAAGTAAAATGGCCTCTGGTTTCTCTCATTCCTCCTAAACTCTAGATTAGGTCTGTCCTAATTATTAACTGACAGGTGACATCACTGACTTAAAATATCCATTGAAGTGTTGGTTCTGTGACCTTGCATTTTTGGTTTAAGTCTGCCTGCAAATAGTTTCATATTATAGGAAAAAGACGGAAGGGATCTGGAGAGTCTAGAAGGTTGGGTGAACCTGCTTGGTGAAAGGAGAGGACATACAGATAAGAACCAGAGATGAACTGGGTCCCTGCTTATTGTTACCTATACCAGGACAGATGAAGGGTATTTTTGTCATGTAGGTACAAACCTAAAGGGTACGGTGATTTTTTTTTTTTGCTTTACTTCACACTGGCTTAAAGATGAGAGATTTGTCTTTTTATATTTTAAACTTTTTTAGTATTTCATGTAACAGTTTGATCACTATTTCCTCAGAAGCAATTACTGAATTTCTGGGGATATTTTTCTATTCATCTTTTCCTTAGTGATTTTCAAATGTATTGGCTTCAGGACGCCTTTTTTTTTTTTTTTTTTTAATAAGATTTTTTAATTTATGCATATAGGAACTAGGGTGCAGGCCAGAGGTATAGTGGGTGAGGGGAGTCACCAGAGACAGAGCGGGTAGCAGAATGGTGGATCTACTGAAATCCACTGCTGAGGGGAGGAGAATGCGAGACAGGAGAGGTCTGCTCTGCCATGTGGGTTGACTCCCCGGCTGGGCATTGAACTCCTGCCACAGTGGCTGGCGATAGCTTTGTAACAATTTAATGAAGACCAAAGAATCTTCTATTTATAAGGGTTATTTTTATAATTTTTCATGCAAAATGCTTTCATTAATGGTTGGTAGGCACTTACTTAAATTGTTTTTCAGATTTAATTTAGAATACAGTAAATACACTTCCTGAAAAATTAGTGATAAAAGTGGCATTGTTTTTGCAAATCTATTCATGTTAACTTAAGAGAAGACAGCCTGTTCTCATTTGCTTCTGCATTTCAGTTTGTAGCAATGTACTGTTTTGCTTTAAGTATTGAAGAAAATCCAGCATCTCACAGGTATGTCAATAAGAAAAGGAGACATATTTTGAAAACTCTCTTTGGTACAGTACCAAAACTCCAAGGAAGTAGTTTCTTTTTTTTTTTTAAGCCAGTTTTTGTTACCTTTTTTTTTGTTTTTTTTTTTGAGATTTATTTATGCATACAAGAGCTCCAGTGCAAGCCAGAAATGGGGGGGGGTGTCACAAGGATTCACCAGAGACAGCAGAGACAGAGCGGGGAGCAGAACAGACAGCTCTACTGAAATACATTGCCGAGGGGAGAGTGGGCGAGACAGGACAGGTCTGCTGCGCCATGTGGGTCACCTCCATGGCCAGGGGTTGAACTCCTGCTGCAGTGGCTGCAGATAGCTTCATAGTACTACATCTTAACCCCTTGGGCCACCAGGGAGGCTCCAAGTGGGTAGTTTCTTATTAAAGGTTAGTTGTGGTGTGAAATCTGAAACCATATTAATAAACCTGGAATTTTTTTACCTGTGCATGATTTTTTAAATATATTGATCAGATGGAAAATACTGGTTTCCTAAATTATGCAGGTTTTTCCAAAGGTTGGCACATTTAATTAAGCACTGTCCAGAAGTCACATTACTTCATATAACCATCTCATCAGAAAAATCTTTAGGTATTAGGAGACTTTCAAGTTGACGGTAATCAGTATGAGTTTTCCAAAATTGTAATTTTCACTTGATTTATGATTAACAATACATCCTGTCATTTGTCTTCTTTGAAGTAACAAGACCTTATTCTTTGAGAATATGTCTATCACATACCTAAGTCTGAAGTTTTTCCAGTCTTTTAAAAATGGTGTCCCATGAAAACAGTAGTTTGTTATACAAGTACTTTCTCTTTATTTTTCCCCAAAGATTTATTTTATTTGTGCGTACAAGAACTGGGGTGTAGGTCAGATATGCAGGGGGTTAGAGGATTCCCCAGAGATAGTAGGGAGCAGAACAGGCAGATGTACTGAAATACACTGCTGAGGGGAGCAGCAGGTAAGACACAGAAGTGTGCTGCGCCATGTGGGTCAGCTCCCTGGCCAGGAATCTAACTTAAGCCGCAGTGGCTGGCCATAGCTGTGTAGTGCCGAGACTTAACCTCTGTGCCTCTAGGGGTGCCCACGAAAGTTTTTCTTGATAAAACCTTTGAATTATATTATGCAGCCGTAGTGCTGTGTATGCACTTCATTTTGTTATATAGCACTCAAAGGGTGATTACTGTTATGTTAAGTAGAACACCTTTTGTCCCTCGGCTAGTGTGGGATCATGAGGCATATGACGCAGTGTTGTAGCAGCTTACTGCCTCTGCCTTGATTCGTACTAAGTTAATAGCAGTTTTACCCATGTTTGCTTTTGCACAATCAGTATTAAGAAAGTAGTTTGCATTTTGACTCCTGAAAGGTGTCAGGAAAGCACAGGTTTCACGAGCCATGCTTTTGAGAATTGGTGTTTTCTATCCTTTCGTGTGGAGTGTGACTCTTACGTCTGTTTTCATATCTGACTCCGCTTATGATTACGTATTAATGTAATGATTTCTCAAGCTATTTTCTGTGTTTTCATCATTTAAGAAAAATGCTGTCAATTCACTAGTGCTCATTTTTTCTCTATGATAATCTTAAATTGTTGAGTTAATACTGTTTTACTAGCCTCCTTTCGTACTGCTGTCTGAGTTATTTGTTAATTAGATTTTTTTCCCAAAGAGAGATGAGACCATTGACATTAAAGATTTTATTTATTTATTTATACAAGCACTGGGTACAGGCAGAAGCACAGGAGGGTGAGAGAATTCACCAGAGCCAGAGGGGGAGCAGAACAGGCAGACTGATGAAACACACTGCTGAGGGGAACAGCGGGTGAGACAGGAGAGGTCTGCTGTGCCATGTGGGACCCTTGCCGGACGGCTGTGGGGATCAAACTGGCGCTGTGGAGGCTGCGGGCAGTTCCTCAGCCCAGCACTCAACCGCTGCACTACCGGGGAGGCCCGAGACCATTGACATTAGATTCTGATTAATAGATTCAAGTATTTTTTAGCCCTAAGGCATTTATATATATATATATTTTTTAAATAAATGATCTTCTCTTTTTTTTTTTTTTTTTAAGATTTATTTATTTATACAAGCACTGGGTACAGTCAGAAGCACGGGAGGGTGAGAGGATTCACCAGAGCCAGAGCAGGGAGCAGAACAGGCAGACTGATGAAGTACACTGCTGAGGGGAGCAGCGGGCGGCAGGAGAGGTCTGCGCGCCATGTGGGACCCTCGCTGGCGGCCAGAGATCGAACCGGTACTGCAGAGGCTGCGGGTAGCTTCGCAGCCCAGTGCTCAACTGCTGCGCCACCAGGGGAGGCCCTATATATTTTTTTTTTAAAAAGATTTATTTGTTTGTTTGTTTTTATTTATTTATTTATGCAAGCACTGGGTACAGTCAGAAGCGCGGGAGGGTGAGAGAATTCACCAGAGCCAGAGCGGGGAGCAGAGCAGGCAGAAGGACCGAAGTACGCTGCTGAGGAGAGCAGCGGGCGGCAGGAGAGGTCTGCGCGCCATGTGGGACCCTCCTCCGGTGGCCAGGGAGCAGCCGGGGATTGAACCAGCGCTGCAGAGGCTGCGGGCAGTTTCACAACACATCGCTCAACCGCTGCGCCACCCAGGAGGCCCTATATATATTATTATTTTTTAAAGTAAAAGTAATTGACTCATTTTTGGAAATTGCATAGCATAAATGGGTACTTGAATGAGTTAATGTCCTTTCACTTTGTGGTGTAGATTTGTCTAGTTCCCCATTCTAGTTTCTTTGTCACTAATTTTATAAACGAATTATATTTTCACCTGCCTCCTGAACTGAAGTGGTGAGGGGATACCACCTTTGCCTAACACATTTGAATTCTGCTTTTCATATAGTGAGTAGTGAGAGTTTAGGTGGCGAGTTATCTTTTCTCCAAAGTGATGCTAAAAAATTTACTCAAATGGATTTTGTTCTGGCAATAGGTGGTTACAGTGTGGTTCACATAACGGTATCTGTATATGTTCAAGGAATCTCATAGGTTTGGAACTTGTCAGCAAAATATCTGTGATTGATCCCACTAAAGGCTTTTGGGAATGACCTGGAGAGGCTATTTCCTTAGAACAGTAGGTTGCTGGGCACGGTTGAAGCTGTCTTGTAGGTTGAGAACATTATATTAAAAAAGCATCTGCTTTTAACATGTTTTTGTGCAGATCACAGTGACCACCCCCCCACCCCCCAACCCTTGAGACCACAGTTCCTGAGAGAGAAAGAACCTGTAGTTCATGAAAGATACTACCACTTTTATACATTTTTATAATTTAATAACAGACATAAATGAAAAGCTGCCCATACTTTCAGAAATAAATGTTGATTCCTTGGTGTTTATTTTTCTAGATCCTTATGCAAGGTTATTTTATGGTTTTCAATTCGAAAAGTTAGGAAATACTACCCTATGAAAGCATTTAAAAATTAAATTTGTTGGGCCTCCTTAGTGGCTCAGGGGTTAAAGTCCCAGCACTATGAAGCGCTCACCAGCCACTGCGACATGAGTTTGATCCCCGGCCGGGGAGCTAACGTATGTGGCGCAGCAGACCTCTCCTGTCTCGCCCGCTACTCCCCTCAGCAGTGTATTTCAGTAGATTCGCTTGTTCTGTTCCCCACTCTAACTCTGGTCACTCCTGCCTCACCCCAGTCTTTGTATGCATAAATAAATAAATCTATTTTTTTAAAGATTATTTATGCATATAAGAGCTAGGGTACAGGCCAGAGGTGGGCGGGGGGGGGTGAGAGGATTCACCAGAGACAGAGTGGGCAACAGAACAGGCCGATGGAGTGAAGTACACTGATGAGGGGAGCAGCGTGCGAGTCAGGAGAGGTCTGCTGCACCATAAATAAATAAATAAATATTTTTAAAAAATAAAAATTAAATTTGTTGGTGAATATAATCAAATGATTTTCCTTACGTGAGCTATGCTTTTTTAGATAAGTATGATTTAATTGAATATCATAGTAATAGCAATCAGCTGGATTTTGAGGTTCTTTAATTAGTTTGATAATTAGCACTGCATATTTAAAATTATCAATGAGAATATAATCCTGGCATTATTGAAAGTATATGAATGTTAGCTATATAATTCATAAATTTGGGATGTGTAAAACAAGGTTTTTATTGCCTTTATAGACTGTGTCTTCCAATCCTGTGATTAGAGGGTCCCCTAAAGCAAGGAGTTCCTCCTCTGTATGGAATGAAATAAGTTACATATTTCTCTTGATATTTCTGAGGAGTGTTTAGAACACAAAAGGATATTGATAGTGAAGGCAAAATTTAGGTTATCAATGAGTTAAGGATGTGTCAGTCTTTAGAGAGACTAAAGCTTCTTGAGATAGGAACAAGGCGAATTCATAGTTGGTTAACTTAGCAATGTAATACTTTATTGGTGTTATCTTTTGCACAGCCATTACCAAAATCTAAAAAAACTTCTAGCAAAAGCAACAAAAAGGAACGGAACAGTTCTGGAATGGCAAGGAAAACTAAACGAACCAAATGTCCTGAAATTCTGTCAGATGAATCTAGCAGTGATGAAGATGAAGAGAAAACCAAGGAAGAGTCTTCAGATGATGAAGATAAAGAAAGTGAAGAGGAGGTAAGAGAATTTTTTTCCCCCTAATTTCTTTCCATGGGACAAGTTAAATGTTTCTGTTATATTGTAGGTATAATCTGGACACAGATTCTAGCACTTAAGAGTACCATATTGTTGGGCCTCCCTGGTGGCGCAGCAGTTGAGCGCTGGGCTGCGAAGCTGCCTGCAGCCTCTGCAGCGCTGGTTTGATCCCCAGCCTCCGAGGGAGGGTCCCACATGGTGCACAGACTTATCCTGCCTCCCGCTGCTCCCCTCAGCAGTGTATTTCAGTCTGCCTGCCTGTTCTGTTCCCCGCTCTAGCTCTGGTGAATCCTCTCACTCCCCTGCATCTCTGGCCTGTACCCCAGTTCTTGTATGCATAAGTAAATAAATCTTTAAAAAAAAAAAAAAAGAAACCACCACCACAGTGCTCTGATTACCCATCTTCCTTCATACCAAAAATATACTAAGGTATTTATGAAACACCTACTGGATTTGTCTAAATTCTTTTTAAATTGTAAAGCATTTCATATGTAGCTTTATAGAAGTCTTTATTACATTAAAATAAGCATGAACTTTAATATTTCAAGACAAATACACATGACATAGACACACACAAATATAAAATCAAAGTTTACTACATCTGTATTCCCTCTCATCAGTATTTATGAAGAGGAGGTGATTTGAGAGGACATTTGGCAACATGGGGGCATTTTTGTTTTCACAACTGGGGTGTACTACTAAGATCTGGTTAGGAAATAGTCTACAATGCACAAGACAGCCTTCCACATGAACAATTCTCTGGCCTAAACTGTCTAGCCACATTAGTCAATCCCTAAATAAGACAAGGGAGATTATCCAATTTACAGGGCACGCTCTGATCACAAAGGGGCATCGAAACAAAGGTAAAACAGAGTCTAATGAAGCACTATTAACAACAGGAACTCAAATCCTTGTTAACGCTCTCCCTCATCTACCTGCTTGAAGATACACATGGAAACGACGATAAAGTCAAGCCTCTAACTAGTTCAGCAGCTCTCTACTTCCTGAGGTTGACTTTGAAAACTAAATACTGTCAACATTTTACAAATACTGCCAAGTAAAAGAAAATGCCAGACATTCCTAAGTGATAGAAAACTTGCCCACCATATAAACTTCAAAATGCTACTACTCTTATTAAAAATCCCCTATTTGCTTAGTACTTAACCCCCTTACTTTTTGCATGAAACAAAATTAAGTTGTCAAGTCAACCATAAAATATCAGTGTACTATGAAAGATTTCTCAAATGATTTGCTCCGTTATTTAGGATATAACCTTGCTTCACCCCAGCCCTCCCTACACTTCCCTTCCCATTTACCTTTCCTAGTCTTCAGGGTCCAGCTCAAAGCCCAGTTCAAATCCATTCCATACCAACCTTATCCTTTTCAGCTCCTATACTCTGGGCATGGCAATAAAGCTTAGCTCCTTAAGAGAAAAATAACTTGTACTGAACTATTTCTTTGTCTTCAAAATTAAAAACCAACAATGTGGTACTCTTTTTTTTTTTTTTTTTTAAGATTTATTTATACAAGCACTGGGTACAGTCAGAAGCGCAGGAGGGTGAGAGGATTCACTAGAGCCAGAACGGGGAGCAGAGCAGGCAGACTGATGAAGTATACTGCTGAGGGGAGCAGTGGGTGCAACAGGAGAGGTCTGCCTCGCCATGTGGGTTGCTCCCCGGCCGGCCAGGGGCCAGGGATGGAACTCGTGCTGCAGAGTCTACGGAGTACCCCTTGTGCCACCAGGGAGGCCCTGGTTCTGTTTTTTAATTTCATTTACTTTTGAATAGAATGGGGGTATGGGCGAGAGGTGGGAGGGCAGAGGTGAGAGGAATCATCAGAGACAGAGTGTGGAGCAGAATAGGCAGATTTGCTGAATACCGCTGAGGGGAGCAGTGAGCGAGATAGGAGAGCTCTGCTGCTCCATATATGTGGGTTAGCTCCCTGGCTGGGATCCAACTCAGGCCTTAGAGGTGATAGCGCTGAGATTTAACCCCTAGGCCACCAGGGAGGCCACAGCACTAAGGTTTTTATGAAATAGATTTTAAGGACATCTAGAAGGAAAACATGTTTGTTTACATATGAATATGTGAATAGTGGTAATTTTATAGTGACAGTATTCCTAATTCAACTACTTCTTAGTTTTTTAAATCCAGTCTTCCTGTCATTACCAAGGGACAGGTTCAAAAGTGAAGATATATTGTCTCACTGTTCTAAGTAGGATTAGTTGCCATCTGAATGTAGATGACCCTGATTTATAACTATTGGTTCCTGGATAATGATCACAAGGGGAATTGCCCCACTGGAAATCAAAAAGCCTTTCTGCAGTGCTACAAACAAGCATCATTTGCTAGAAACCCAAGTCAAATGATGAAAATCCACAGAGAAAAGAAAGAAAACACAAAGAAGCTTTAACAGACATTAAATATATAAAGTCACACCGTATAAAAGCTGTATCATGATGTTCTGTTTTCTACTTGGGCTGGTACTGGCTGACTACATAAAATAAGCCTGTGAAATCTGGAGTGAGAAGTCTTTCTTTTTCCTGATAAATCTCCCAGTAAATGTAGGTATTCTTCATTGCTTTAAAGACTTTTAGATTTAGGGCTAGCCTCAAAAACTTTTTAGTGCTGTTCAGTTTCTATGAAAGGCCCTGATTGCTTTTGAAAGGTAAGCGCTGGCAGGAGGAACAGTGTTTTTATGGTAGCATTGGTTTTCCTTATTCCATTTCTTGAGGACTCAGTAAATTGGCAGCTTTGTTACACATGTCATAAATGAATTTAGTTGTGGTCTTTACTATATGAAAAGAACTCTTCTAAGAGGTAAAATTGCAGATTGATTGGAAAAATTGTGAAAAATGGAATTTTTTTCACAGGAAATTACTAAGTGAGTATTACTTAATCCTGTTTATTTCCTGAAATGAATTTTTCTCTAAAGACTCCACCCTGTTAAGATCAGCTTCTTGTTCTGTTTTAGATTCTTAAATATGAGGCTGGATAGTTTGGTTTTACCTTCATGTGTTTCTGAGACCTTGGGTTATATAACCTATATCATATTTGCTGAATTTAGAGATTGTACAGAGCAGGCAGAAATCCAGCCCAGATTTTAGTTGTCCATTGAGGTTGGATGTTACTCATCTACATGCTAATATTCATATTTAACTTTATTTGTGTGGAAGAGTAGGATACTTAATTTATGAGTAAGTTTGTTTTTTAAATTAGGATTTTAATTACAGAAAACTGCCAACTTTTAAATAGAATTGGCATTTTAAGTCTTTTTTTAAGAAAATTCATTATTTTTAGCATGTTAGCCAACAGTTGCAAAGACATTTTCTTTGATGTTCTTTGTTACTGTTCCTATGATTGCAGCGAATATTTCACTATTTTTAATCCTCCTTTTCCTTGTGAAGAATTCCTTTATGAAAGAGTCATTTTAAGTTACTTTATCATTTTAGCTCTTGGACATTTGCTTATTTGAGCAATAGAAGGAGAGCAGTTTGGAACCAGGAATAAAAGGGTAAATGAAGTTTCTCTAAAATACAGTAGTTACCTGACCATCTCTGGCTGTGGGCAACTGTGAGATCAGGTGCTGTCTTTCCTGCCTCTGTTGGCCAAATAAGGAAAAGGTTCATTGTAATTTTTGGGGAGGGTGACTGCGAAAGTTATGTTTCAAAAAGAAAAATTGCTCCATCACTTGATCAGAGGAAATACAAACCCACATATGAAACCTTTTGTTGGAAGGCAAAGTTGAGTGATCAGCACAGTAAGATCTATTTAGACTTAAACTTGAATTCATAATCTTTTGTTAACACCCTGCAAGCTTGCACATTCTTTACTCTTGGCGTTCATGGGTTTTCTCAGCCAAGTTGTTAAAAGAATAGTGTATTGTAAGCTAATTTTTATTTTGTTCATCTGTTCACCCAGTACAACCTTTCTGCTGTGAGGACAGGATTCTGGCTCTGTGACAGGCGTCTTTTTTGGAGACCCTCCTTCAAGAGCCCTGCTGCCTATAAAAGATAGGTAAGCCTTTTCTCCAAAGGTATTTTTTTGTTTTTTTGTGTGGCCTTTTTTTTTTTTTTTTGGTTTTTTTTTTTGCCTTCCTTCAAAAAGTATTGGGTCATTCCTCTGACTATACCTTCATGGTATCAAAGACATGGGAAATTCCCTTCAAATTTTAAAATTTTATAGTAATCTTTAAAGAATTTAGATTGCAGTACACCCGTTTTATTTTTTTGCTTTCCTTTAGCATGTCAAAAATACTTATATTACTGCTGAATGGTTCTTATTGAACCACTCACAACATATTCAAAATAGGAAACCAGAACCTTAAAAAGAAAAACTACAACAATTTCAAAATGAATTGTTTCTTTTTTTTTTTAACTTAGTTACCTTTTTTTTTTTTCTATGCATTTTGCTAAAGAACCCAAGTCTTAACTTCTATTTGATTACATAACAAAGGTATTAGCTGTTGTAAATACCTCCAATATTTTTCCTTTATAACAGCAAAGACTGTGTTTAATATAATCATGAAAATTTTCAGAATATTTCATTTTTTAATTTTTTAAAAGATTTATTTTATTTAGGCATACAAGAACTGGGGTGCAGGCCAGAGGTGCAGGGGGTGAGAGGATTCACCATAGACAGAGTGGGGAGCAGAACAGGCAGATCTACTGAAATACACTGCTGAGGGGAGCAGTGGATGAGACAGGAAAGGTCTGCTGAGCCACGTGGGTAGTTCACTGGCTGGGGTTTGAACTCATGCCACAGTGGCTGCTGCTAGCTTGATTGTGCTGAGACTTACTAACCTCTTGTGCCACGAGGGAGGCCCTTCAGAGTATTTTAAAGGAGATTCAAAATAGGGGACCAGTATTTGTTATCCAGTGTAATCTCATTTTGATTGTACATTTCCAATCATCATTCTCCCTGCCTGTTGATGAAGGCAGACTTTGGTGAGAAATGGAAGAAGTATCAGTTGAAGTTGACCAT